CTTCTCTAGGATTATGGACTACAGGCTTCTTATTCCTTGCATTGCATTATAGCTAGTATTCACCTATGAGTGGGTATATACCATGGTTATCTTTCTGGGTTTGGAGTACCTTGCTCAAGATAGATTTTTTTTTTCTATTTCCATCCATTTGCATGGAAATTTCAAGATTTCATTAATTTTTTTATATTTAAAGGGGGATATGCTATGGAGATTTACATTGGTATGGATCTTGGTTTATTGATACAAATTTAATGTCAATTTTGTTATACTGTGTATATGTATTTCTGATCTAGATTAAGGTATTTTGTTTGTTCAGCTCATTTAAAAATGTAATGTAATTAAAAAATAATTGTTAATAGATTATCATATATAATAGTCAAGCTTATAATCAGATTAGTTAGGTTTTCTAGATGTACATAGATATATTTCAGATAGATACATGTTTTTCAAACATTTCAAAGACTAACAGAAGATGACATTTAAAATGGTTTAATAACTTAAGAATTCTCATGACAATGAGACACATCCACTTCTGGTAGCACCAATAACTTCAAGAGGAACATGGGCACCAAAGAGCTCCTTGTGGAGTTTGCTAGCCATTTGGGCAAGAAACTGCTCTTGTCTGGACTGCTTGATGTTATACTGTATGAAGGGGACATGCAGGACCCACAGAGAAATGACTGCTGAACTTGCTTAAGGGTGTGATGGTCCTTCAGGGTTTCTGCTTCATGAAAGAGACTGATAGACATTCTTCAGGACACAGAAAAAAGTGACTGACAAACTGACAATATAGGTGGAATTGTCTTTGAAATTTCCTGCTTCATGGTAAAATTTGCCAGATACTATGAGCCAGTAGGCTGAAGACAGGTGTCCGCAATGTTACCAAAGAACTTTAGGTGACTGTCCAGGCAGCGAGATGTCTATGTTAATTCTCGAGTTTTAGAAGTTTCTTACAATGTACTTCTTGTTTACTTAGGTAATATATCCTTCTGCAGTCTGTGATGAAGTTGAAGAATAGATAGTTATAGTTATAGTTTTTCTTTGTTATGATAAAATGTAAAATGGATAAAAATATTGTAACTGTAATTTTTGCTTGATACCTGTTTTGTTATATATAATTTTACTATATTAAAGTTAAATCCTTCCTTTTTATTTAAACAGAAATTGGAAGTGATGTCTGATTCCTCTCTGTATGTTGTGTATAGTGTTTGTTAATAAAGAAACTGTTTTGGACCTGTACAGAGCAGAATACAGGGGAATGCTGGGAAAAAGAAGGCAGGGTTAAGAGATGCCATGGAGCCTCCAGAGAAGAAAGATGCAAGCCACCAGTCAGAACCATGCTGATAGGTCACAAGTTTTGTGGTAAAATATAAAATAATGGAATGGGTTAAATTTAGATGTAAGAGCTAGACAATAAGAAGTTAGATTTAAAAGGTCAAGCAGTTATTTAATTAAAACAGTTTCTGTGTGGTTATTTTGGTACTGAGTAGCTATGAACAAACAAGCAGCCTCCGAAAGCAGAGTTTGGTCTACTTCTTGGTCCTAGCCACACAGACCTTGACTACCATGAATATATAGGGACAAACACTTCTTCTTTGGTGAGTTGTCAAAGCAGACATCTTCCAGTAGAGGCTCACTAGGGAACCTGCAGAGCAGTTACATAGGCTTCCAAAGCAAGAAGAGGAGAAAGAGAGCTTGGATGGCAGAGCAGTCTATTGAGCTGGAATGAAGTTGTCTGGCCAGGATTTTCCCTACAGGAATATTAATGCAGAGAGGATATATTATTCACTTGAGGTTCTGATTCTTTATTACAATGTTAAAATCCTTGTATGCCCTTCCAATACGGCTTATCTCAGTTTTCTTGATGTTTGCTTTCATACCAAGGGTTTTGCTTACTTCCACCACTTTATCCACTATGGTCTGCACCTCATTTGGATTTTCAGCAAATAGTTCTGTATCGTTTGTGAGACACATGTAATTGATTCACACACCATCTATGTGCATGGCCATTTCCTCATCCTCCAGGGATGTTGCTATTATTAATTCCAGGAATGTATTAAAGATACATATATATATATATATATATATATATATATATATATAAAAAATAAAAATACATATAACAAATTATATATGTTGTATGTAATGGTGAGAGGATAAATCTCTGCAACACTCCTACAATTGGCTTAAATTAATCACTTAGTTCTCCACAGATTTTGACTGATGCAAATGTATCTTTATAAGCATTTTCTAGTATTCATGTGGTTTTCCCTGGGTACTTGTGGAATCTCATTGTTTTTCAAAGTCATTTCCTAAAAATGCTATTGAATGCCTTCCTGAAGTCGATGTAACAGACATAGGAATCTTTTCCAAATTCTTTGTATTTTTCTGCCACTTGCCTAAAAGTGAAGACCTGATCAATTGTGTTCCTATTAGTTCTGAATCCACACTGGGCCTCTGCAAGGATTTCCTCTGTTCTGCCCTTGATCCATTGTAGGATAATGAAGAAGATCATGTAAGACTGCTCAAATTACAGGCACATTAGTTAGTTGTTGTGTTGTATAACAATATACCAGCATAAATATGAGAGAAGTCTAAGATATGGCAAGTATACCACAGCATCTTTTTAGGCCAGGGTCTTCTGTCTGGGCTGTCTCATTATCACAACACCAATGATCTCACAGAAGAGAGCCTAGCCATGCAAATGAGTTCTCTTTAACTCCTTCTGGTTGATTCACAGTGTGAGTTCCTGAAACAACAAGACAAGACAGATGAAGTGAAATACATTGCCACATGGAATATAAAACAGATGGTAACACACCCAAGTTTGTGTGCTAAGATCTCTTCCAGATCCACAGTAGAACAGTTGCTGATTCCTCACAAAATTAGAAGACTCTGTTATTTGGCCCAATGTCTGTTAGGAATATCATTAATGGGCAACTGTACTGCAGAAACTCCAGAGAGAGAAAGAGACTCAACATACTCTTTTAAGTCGTAGAGCAACCAACATCTTTCACAATTGTTTGATATGTCAGTTCTGCTGTGTTTTCTTCATCTTATATTTCAGATATATGAAAGGAAAGTGACAGGGAGCATGGTGATGTGTTCTAGCAGACCCATCACTGATAAATTTCTCTGATAAATGTTGGCAGGCAGAAACAGCACGCAAGCAGTCTAAACAGGAGAGCTTGTGACCTACCTAGGAACTGATGACCGAAAATCATGAGAAGAGACAAATTGTCATATGAACAATTCAGAGTGGGGGACACAGTGCCCACCAATTGATCAAACATGAATAGATAAGTCTTTGAACTATAGATGAGTAGGCACTCGTTTGGGAGGCTGTGTGTGAATAGGAGCTTAATGTAATAAAGCACACCTGGATAAAAGACACAGGAAAAGATCCTGCATGGCCTAGAAGAGATCAAATACCAATACAGGTTTTTCAAGCGTGAAGCACATTCCAAAATCAGGCCAAGATGGCATGTGTGACTGTGAGGCAAACATATCATTTTTTTTCCCTCTGACATTGGACACTCAGCTGTGAAAGGTGTTATTAACTGAACTTGCCCAAAAGGGACCTTAAAGATCACATATGCATGTAGCTGATATAAGCCAACAGCAGACAACTAGGAGAAGGTTAAAATGGGACAGATCTTTGAACAGCAACTGTGATACACTAAACCTCAGTAGCCAAAGGAGGTAATGGTGCCGGGTACAAGATGGGTCATAGACAGTGACTTAGGAAATAAAGCAGGTCCGAGGGCCTTCTTAGAGGTTAGTTATATATTAACCACATGATATGATAATGTGGAATGGAGAGTCAATTCAGGCATAGCACATCACAGAATCATTTTCTGTCAGTAAAATGCACCAAACACAGATTGATATTTCTATATTTAAGAAAAACAATACCAATTCCAAAGGTTTTCCTGTACAGCAATATGTTCAACTGAAAACATTTAGATGTAGTGATAACTAGTTGTAGCTATCATTGTCGGTTTACTTGAATTTTATGATCATTTAGAATCAATATATATAAACTGAAAGGAGTTGTGAGCAGATTCTGCATCCAAAGGCATCAGTGTATGCAAAAGTTGTTGCATATGTGGAGAAAGAACAAGGTCCAGGACGCTGAGTATCCAACACTGCTTTTCATGCCTCTATCACCTTGAGAAATCAGCTGTAATAGACTTTAATGTAATATTCAGACTCCCAGGTTAGGTTGGAACTCAAAGGTGTGCGCACTGCCTATATTACCAGATGAATATTTAGAATCTTAAAAACAGATGGAGTTGTTAGAAATAGTCTTGAGGACACAAAAAAGCCACCATTCCCACAAAGAGTACCTCAATAAGGTTAGTTCTGGTCAGAAGGGTAGATGTTCACAGGAATGGCAGAGCAAGCTCATCTGGACAATAAGACCTCCAACATTTATCCTTAACTCAAGAAGAAAAGATGTTTTCCTCATTAGTTGAGGTCCAACTTCACAGTGTATTTTTCACATTGCAGTCCATTGTTGCAGGGAACTCATTGCCAAAGGATCTTTAGAATCTGATCACATCACACACAGTCAGCAACCAAGAGAAATGACTACACCTGCAATCATTTGCTGGCTTGTACTCAGCTTAACCTCAAGCTTATTTAAATAAACAATGGTGCCACTGAAGTGGTCTTCCAATATCAAATAAGAAAATTCATCAAGTCATCCCAAAGTAGATAAACTCCAGACTGAGACTCTCTTCTCAGGAGATACTATGTTGTTGACTAAAGCAGGTCTTGACAACATCATTATCACAAATTGTTTTGAAATAAAATAGTTTGTAACTTTAGATAACAGCATTTATGACATTCTCTGTGGTAATGGAGAATATACACTCTGATTTAGAAACATGTAGCCATATAGTAAGAAGATTGCAGTTAGAAGACTGTACCAGGGTGTTTGTGTTCTACTTCCCCATCTACATGAGCCACTGTGGAAACGGTAATGAAAAATCACCCTGAGGGTCTTAACCATATGGAGACCCTCGCCCAAGAACCGAGTCCGAGCCACTGGATGCAAAAGCAAGAGGCAAATTTTTTTTATTGCTCACATAGGGCCTATGGGTGCTGCAGTCACCTGGAGAACTGAGCACCCCGGGCAGGGTTTTGGGGCAGATTATATATGGAAGGGGCAGGCAGAAGCGAGCATACAGAAGCAAATGCATAGTTACAGGGGTCTCATAGGTCAATTTTAATGAGGCCATGAGGTCATGTCTAAGACAGCTGTCAGTGTTCCGCTAGGTGTCTGACAGTTTGGGGATTTTCCATTCCTCCCCCTTAATCTTGTTCATGCGAGTGGCATAACTTTTGGTGTCAGACCACAAGCATCCTGTTATACAGACTTGACGATAACATCTGTGCCTTTGTTATGAGCCCCAAGACCTTGTTATGAGCCCCCAGTGTTTGGTTCAAGCCTTGCTTATAATGGCGTTACAGCAGCTAAACAGCCAGGCGGGGGTCTTTCAGTCACTGTAGAACAGACCACAGTAATACACAACCTCATCCTCAGGATATACTCCTGTGATGGTGAGGGCTGCCTTGTCTCCAAGCAGCGAGCCTGAGAATCGGGCAGGAACACCTGAGCCTCGGTTGCTGGTCCAATATATCAGACCAGTGTGTACCTGGTCAGAATTTTCTTGGATCCAGTTGGCATAGTTACTGGTGGTAACAGCCCCAGTACTGGAGCCACATGTGAGTGTGACTGTCCCTTCAGGAGATGTGTTGAGTGAAGTTTCCTGAGTCACAACAGCTTGGGAAATGGCCCCTGCGAACAGGAGAAAAATCCAGTGGTCAGTAGCAAAGCAGAGAAAATATGTGCACTATTTCATACCCACTCCAGTTCAGAAAGGTCGCCTGACCTGTACAGTGAGCCAGAAGTGTGATCAAAACAGAAATCCAGGCCATGACTTACAGTCAAGATCTGTTCCTTTCAAAGTTCTTCAGCATAGGGCAGTGACAGAAGGCTAACTAAAATGCCTAACATAGGAGGGGGCATGCACAATAATGCAAATGAGCCCCTCTTCTTTGCTGGTTATAGAATGTCAGGTGAATGTTTTTCAGTTGACACAAGTTACTGATCACATATTTATAATAACAATATGGAGCATTATTGTCCAGAAACCTTTACTTCTCTGCCAAAACTGTCATCTGTCTAGCTTCTTAGAAGGACATCAGTCTTGCAAGTCATGCTCCACCAAGACTTATCCTACTTACAGTGAGAAACAGTGAGAATCATTGGGTTTTGCAGGCATTTCAAAACAGTCCATTCACTGTTAGCATCACTTTGTCATGTGGTTTATCATTATGCTCAAGTGTGTTAATTCATTAACAAGTGGAAAGATTAATACAAAGCAAAATGTTTATAGTTCAGTTACCCAAATGTCTGTAAAGTAACAAAGAAACTGCTACACAACTACAGAAATATGCTTTGCAAAGAAACTAGGAAGAATCTCATGCTTATACAAACAAACCTATAACTAACTAGGTGTTGAAATCACATTGACAGATATTTGAAGCTTGTAATTTTGGAGTGTTTAAGTGTCTGTTTCTGAAATGAGGGCATAAAGTTTCAATCAACAAAACAGATGACTAGATCCAAGATTCATGAGATAAATTTACAGGTAATAGTGTAGAGTGGAAGAGAGAATCTAAATTTAAATTTGTTAAATAATAATAATGTTTACATATAAATGTATATATATATATGATAAATACTCAAAATTAGCTTTATATGAACTAATTGTGTGTGCACATAGAAAAATTTGCCTCTAATATGGTTATATATTTTACACAAATTCCAGCTAAATAAACTTGTTTTAATTGTATTGCAATAATGTAATTTTAGAATGATATTAACAAGCCAATAGAACTTCTTTACAAAAGATTATTAATAGACATATGGTTATCAAAACAGAATGATACAAATCTATTGACTGCTGTTTCAGATGCACATGATAAATGAATTTTTTTTAAGACTATCTCAATATTTGGCCCCAGGATCTGGGTCTAAGTGCAAGAAAGCTCTGATTGGTAGACAGGGAAGCATATAAAGCGGCTCTGTCCATGGCAGCCAGAGCTAACAGATCAATGAAAGTCAGGTGTGGAGTGGAAAATCAGAGTTAAATCAAGAAGAAAATTAGCTACTGGGTGTGGGAGAATGGTCTGTATTCTGTCAATTATATTTTAAATAAACACTGCTCGGCCAGTAACCAGGCAGGAAGTATAGGCAGGACAACTAGACAAGAACTAGAGGTGGGTCAATGAGAACAGGAGAATTCTGGGAAGAAGGAAGTTTCTTGTGCATTCCTGGCCCAGCCACAGAGCAAGCAAGATGTAACTCCCTTGCTGAAAAAAGTACTGAGCCATGTGACTAACATAGACAAAAATAATGGGCTAATATATAAGTTATAAGAGTTAATAAGAAGCCTGAGCTAATGGACCAATCAGTTTATAACTAATGTAGACCTCTGTGTGATTGCTTTGAGGTTTAACGATTGTGGGAACCAGGCAGGACAGAGAACTAGACAACAACTGGGCATCAACAGCAGAGGAGTGGGTGTGGAGAAAACATGGGGATGGCGAAATGACCAGAAATTGGTGATTCGGTAGTTAGATTTGACTTGGGTGTGGTCACAGATAGGTGCTGACCCCATCCTGTGCCCAGCATTCATGGGATGGAAAATTTGTACTTCTAGACATGTCATGATGCAGGAATAATGCTATAACCTTGAGGACTAGTGGATTCAGAAGTTTCTTTGAAAGTAACTACATCTGAGCAATGGAGAAGTATAGAAAAGAGTGGCTGCATGCTTAGGTCTCAGGACCTGGTCCTGACTTTGCACAGGTTCTAGCAAAGTAAAGCATGGACACAGATGTGGTAGTGGTGACAGAGTTAGTAACAGTGCTGAACTTGAAAGCACAGAAAAGAGGATGTCTCATGAAGTGCTGGGGCTTGAAGGAAGATAGTGTGGCCACTGCATCATATCTAACTTCTACTGATCATGTTAACAATAGTGACCATAGTAGAGATGCATAGTAGACAAAATGACATGTGCCCCTAGACTGATTATCAAGCCTCCCTTTGCCTTCCTGGTTATTCATGGTGTATCTTTTGTTATAGAACAAGCTTTGTGTTTCTTTTCACTTGTTCATCGACTTTTTAAATATCTTGATGCCCCCTAGAAAGTGTGTCTGTGAAGAACAGTCAAGAGATACAGGGCTTGTGAACCCAAGATTTTCTCTCCCTTTTCTTTATATGAAACACTGTGATGAGTATTTATACTGTTGCATTAAGATGAGTTTTATAACAGTAATAATCAGCCTCATCCACAGACTGCATTCTAAGTGTGAGCAACACCCTTGTAATGCCTGAGGAATCTTTGAACACAAACAAGTTGCTGGGGCCCCTGGAGTCAGAAGATAAATTCAGGTCTCTGTAGTTCGGCAGGATATTTTCAAGGTGTTTTGGATTCTCCAGGAAGTAGAAAAGCAGAGCTCCCATACTAAAGCCACTGCTCTAGCTGCAGATAAATGTGACAGATGCTCTAGAGGATACAGACTTAGAGCAACTGAGTCAGCACAGCTTGGCAGAGGGAACCAACACACAGTATGAGGATAGATGTGGTAGAGACAAGAGTAGACGTTCCCATGGACTGCTAGACAAGATGGTAAAGGCTGAGTAGGAACTGAGACCTGTTGATGCACATTCCTACCTGTGATTTGAGGGAAGAGTAGGAGGAAGGGCACAGGCATTAGAGAGACAGCTCCTACCATGGGGTAGCCTGGCCTCATGTCTCATTGTATTCTCTTGTCCTGCCTGACACAGCCTCACCTGCCAATGTGTTTCCATCCATGGTTGCCTCGGCTCCTCCCTCAACCTTAGTGCTCATGCTCAGTTCACACACACTTAGGAGGATGGAGGTTTATTTAAGCACTAGGGACCCCTCAGGAAGAAATGTCTACTGAGCAAGGTAAAATTTTACTTAAGGGATTCTTCCAGGCTAGAGAAGATGCAACTACTGATTTCTTCTTTTGAACAAATGATAATTATCTCTGTTTCATAGTTCTATTAAATATGTGAAAACAATATATTTACATCTTAAAAATACACATTAGGTATAATGCTATAAAATTATTATACTGCTATAGTCCAAGTGTTTTTTGCTTAATAGTTCCACATTCCATTTTCCTTTTTTAACTTTTTAATAACATTTCTTTCATTTGTTTTACATACAAACCAGTTCACCCTCCTTTCTTCCCTCCTTATTTCTCCCCTTTCACATTTACCCCCCACCCATCCACTCCTCCTCTATCTGCATTCTGAAAGGGACAAGTCTTTCATGGGCTTGTCCAAAGCATGGCACATCAAGTTGAGGTAGGACCAAGTTCCTCACCAGGTATGGGAAACAAGTTACAAAAAAGCCAGCTAAATGCCAGGAAGACATCCTGCTCTCACTGTTAGAAGCCTTACTAACAGTTGATCTCTTAGAGTTGATCATATATCTTGATGTACATGATTGTCACACACAAGCAGAGGGCATAGGTCAGTCCCATACATGCTCCCTGACTGTTTCTTCAGCATCCATGAGCTCCCTCATGTTCAAGTCGACTCTCTCTGTGGGTTTCCCATCATGACCTCCCGGCTGGTACAATTCCTCCTCCTTTTCTTCTACAAGACCCTCCGAGCTCAGTACAGTGCTTGTCTATGGATCTCTGCCTCTGCTTCCATCAGTTACTGGACAGAGTATCTCTGACGGGAATTAGGGAATCACGTATCTGTTTACAGTAGATGGCCAATTCAGGCACCCTCTCCACCATTGCTAAGAGATTTAGTTGGGGTCATCCTTATGAGTTCCCTGGCCCCAGGTTTCTCCCTCAACCCAAAGTACTCTCCCATCAAGATATTTGTTTTGTTACTCTCCTCCTCCACCCTACCTCCGATTCCATTCCCGCAACTGCAGTTACTGATTTCTAACCAGTAAGCAAATGACAGTTCCTTTATGCTAAGGCTCTTCTGAGTAAATGGTCCTTAATAATCAGTTTAAACACAGACTCCCGCACAGTGCCCCCTGCTGGTTACAGAGCCCACAGTCACCTTGGCCAAGGAGTTGTAAATTCGTTTTGAAGTTTACCTGATCCCTGCATCTATTGAAGCATCCCTACATTAATTTCTAAGTTGTGAGATTCTGATGCGCTGTGTGTAATTATCTAGGTTCTCACCACCAAGATAGCTCTTCCTTTTGAACTCTTTCTGCTGTGGATTGTGCAAAAATGAGCTGTTAACAGCCTTTGCCACCTAGTCCTCAGCTCTCAGAGCAGTGAGAGACAGATGCAGGGGGGCCGGGTGCTCTGTGCTGTGTTTTGGAACTGGGAGAAAGCAGCTGCTGAAACTCTGTAAGGGGCCAGTGAGCAACTATGCAGAGTCCAGTGAATTTGAACACATGAGTCTCTGAGACTTCTGAGAAGGGCCACAGTACCCTCTGCTAGTTTCATTGTTCTTGGCAGTGGGATTTTCATCCATTGAACCACTGTCTACTTATTTTATCAGGCAGCTGACATTTAATTCCCAAGCTGACTCATAATCATCACCTTCCCTTTTATAATTATTTTGGTTTATATTTATTTCTCTCAGTTTTGAGAAACTATTCCAAAAATTTTTAGATTGGGTATTCTATCTACCTTCAAAAATACCCTGAATTAGAGGAGCAATTTGGAAGTATTTTGTTTGTTTGTTTGTTTGTTTGTTTTTTATTTTTTGGTCAAAGACTGTTTCAGTACACATTCAAGGATATTCATTGTACTCACATCTAGTGACTAATTGTTGGAATCATTTGTGACTTGCAATAAGATATTGATCATTACATTTCCTGCTGGCATACATTTTCCTAGCTAGGTTTATTCCCATGAGGGGTGTGTGTGTGTGTGTGTTGTGAAGGAAATTATATT